GTGTGTGTGTGTGTGTGTGTGTGTGTGTGTGTGTGTGTGTGTGTGTGAGAGAGAGATGAACTATGTTGGCAATCACATGAAGATTATAAACAGAAAACTGAATGTTTTTAAATGCACAAAATAAAACACAGAGAATTATAAAGGAAATCAACTATACCAAAAAACAATTATCAAAATATCTTTAAAAACAAGTTCATACAAAAAAAAAAAGTTCATGGACATCTGCCATGAGATAATTTAAGACTCAAGGACAACATGGTATAGTAGAAAATACTGCACTAGTGCTCTATTAGGTTTGTGAATATGGCCAATTTACAATGTCTGTCAGTCACTTTTCTTGCTAGATTGTAAACTGGGAGAGACCTTGCCTCATTCATCTCCTTACCCCCTAAGTTCCAAGAATTCTTCTATACTTAGTAGGTTCTTAATAAATACGTACTTGCTTAATTGAGGTATGCAAGGCTGTGCCTAGCCAGAGTTTAAAACATCACCAAAGAAATGAATCATCATCAAGAAAATATTTCTTACTAATTTCCCAGAGGTGCTATAGGGATAACATTTACTTTTGGAGGAAACTGAGAACCTGAGAGGACTTGCCCAGGGTCACAAATGGAGGCAGAAAGTAAATGAGGCAAGATATGAACAGAGGTTCTGTCTCCAAATCTAATGTTCTTTCCACTGTATTACATCATTACCAACAATAAAAATGCTATGCTAGATTCCACTAAATTAGACTACATCTATCTAGCACAATGGTTACCAAAGGATGTTTTGTGGGAAAGTATGATTGCCCTTGCTGTTGATATCCAAAATCTTCTACATCCCCAATTTTGTTTAATGATATACAAGGTATCTGCTGTCCATCAGTCCCCTCCTGCTACACTTGGCAGCTACATAATGTCAAGGGACCTAAAGTCAAGAAAGCCCCAAACTGGGTGGGTTATGAAGAATTTATGGGACGATGTGAACAAGAATCACACAGGATTAAGCGTGGATAAGTTATGATTCCCACTACTGGAGGATTCACATTGATGAGAACACATATTTATTGACATTTCATTATGTATACACTATCTCTTCAGTTGCAAAAATTCATTACTTACTAAAATAATATAGCACTAAATCAGTTTCCTTCAAATATGGCTCTAATATTTCTCCATTTATGTATTATATACCAAGGGATGGGGTGGTAAGGAAAGCTACAATTAAGGGCAAGTTGGTCCCCCATGGAAGTCAGCCACATACAAACACAGTATTTCTTTCTTCTCATCTTCCCAAGCTCTCCAAAATACTTAATTTCATAAATATCAGTGTTCATCCAATGTACATATATTCTTTTTTATTTTATATACTTTAACAATAGCCCTCTCTATCAACATCTTCTTAGGTTTCAGAATTCTAACTTTAGGGCCAATCATCTTGATTTTAGTTGACTATTTATAGACCTTTTCTGGCTTTCTATCTGTAGCAACCAGAACTCATTGAACAAAAATATTAAATATATGGCATCACAGATATAATTGGAGAGGCAGTGACAGAGTAAGTCAAGGAGTCATGAAGACCTGAGTTCACGTGCTGCCTCCGACTTCTGTGGCTGTGTGACCTTTGATAAATCATTTGGCCCCTCAGTGCTCTAGGCCAGAGTTTCTTAACCCTGGGCAAGTTACCTAACCTTGTTGGCCTCAGTTTCCTCATCTGTAAAATGAGCTGGAGAAAGAAATGGCAAACCACTCCAGTGTCTTTGCCAAGAAAAACCCAAATGGGGTCACAAAGAGTCAGACATGACTAAAAACAACTAAACAACAAAGTGCAGAACAGTAATGGTAGTAGATATTAAAGATACAAGGAAGAAAAAGATGAGTCTATGCCCTCTTAAGATTTTGATCTTGGAGGATAATTCTAAAACAAGTTAGAATGTAATAAAGGGACCAAATGGATACAGCACTACAGTGTGTGGATACCTGTTCTGTACTTGCTGGCCATGTGACCTCTTTGGGAAAGTCACTTAACCTCAGTGAGCCTATTTTCTTATGGAGAAGTGTGGGAAAAGACTAGATTACTAAGCTCCCTTCCTGCTCTAATATTCTATGAAATCTCTGTACATAGTAAAGATCTGAGAGAAAGGAAGCTGGGAATGAAGGAGTTATTTCTAGCTGGTAGATCAGGTAAGACTTTATGGAAGAAATGGTATTAAGTCTCTGGCCCCCAAGGAGCTAACTACAATCTAACAGGGCATATAAGACACCTGAACAAATAAATGTAATATAAAGGAGAATATAACTGACATACAAGACACATATATAAGGTATGGCATGGGATCTGGGGGGGGAGGGGGAGGAAATCATGGATTGGATGTAAAAGACTAGGGAGTGAAAGATGACTCCAAGGTCCAAGATTTGAGCCGGAGTGGAAGAACACTGGTGACATATCATAAAGCAACAACATAAAAAAACACAAAGAAGCATCACAAATACCAAATGCTATAGAATTTATTAATATTGCTCTATCCATGCAAAACATTAATGATAAATACTGAACAATTTATTCATCCGCCCAGCTAGAGCAGAGCAGCAAATAGAGCACTGAGCCTAGAGTCAGGAACACAAGTTCAAATCTGGCCTCAGACACTTACTAGCTGTGAAATCCTGGGCAAGTCACTTAGCCTCTACTCGCCTCAGTTTCCTGATCTGAAAATGGAGATAATAATAACATCTACCTCTCAAGGTTGTTGTGGGGATCAAACAAGGTAATAATTGTAAAGTGCTTAGCACAGTGCCTGGCCCAAAGTAGATGACATACAATCGACAGCTATCATTATTATTATTATTATTATACCTTTGTATTTTTTGTCTTATACCTAACATAGGAGTAGGGACTGGAACTACAATTTCACTGGCATAGGAAACTCAGCCCTTTCCCTTAAATGTATACTCCTGGAAAGCTGCCTAGGACACTGAGCTATTAAGTGACTTTTTTAGACAACAAGTTTGCGTCAGCAGTAGGTCTTGCACTCAGGTATTCAAGGTTCCAAAGCTTGAAGTTCTCTATGCATATCACTGCCTTCTCCATACCTATCAAATTTGAAAGGAATTTAGATATTACTGTACAAATAAAAAATCCAGGCTCCCACATCCTGTAAGTCATCGATGAAGCCCACTAAAAGGATGGCTTCATTAATATTAAGAATTTTAGGGGCAACTAGGTGGCGAAGTGGATACGCACTGGCCCTGAAGTCAGGAGGACCTGAGTTCAAATCTAGCCTCAGACACATAACACTTACTAGCTGTGTGACCCTGGGCAAGTCACTTAAATCCAATTGCCTAGCCAAAAAAAAAAAAAAAATTTAAGAATTTTAGAATCTGATAAGGAACCAAAGAATTTGGATTCAAATCCCTACTACTCCTAAGCAAATCTGCTAGTGAAGAGGTTCTTCATCTGGGATCTGGGGATAGATTTTAGAGAGTAAGTTAACTTGGTTAGTGGAAAAAATTTACTCCTGTGTATTTTACTTTATACATCTAAAATCATTCTGAGAAGAAATCCATAGATTTCACCAGATTGTCAAACTGCACAAAAACGGTTAAGAATCCTTGCCCTAACCTCTATGAACAAAGCACCAGTAGCTGCTACCATCATAATGTGTCTTTTGGGACCATTTCCCCCCCTTGCTTTGTATCCCCAGCGCTGAATACAGTGCCTGTCACACTGTGGGTGCTTATTAAGTGCTTACTTTGTACCAAGCACTGCACTAAATGTTACACAAACGCAGGGGTTACAAAGAAGGGCAAATACAAAGAGCTGCCACTCTCATCGGGTACTCCTTCCCAGTCCCTACCATCATCAGGCCCTCTTCTCTTCTTCGTCCCCTAGTCCCCATCACTAGGCTTCCTTCCTTCGCCTCCACGCCCCCCAAGACCATAAAAGCAACGCCTGCAACCCCACGGTAGTCCCCAGATGTCTCACCCAGAACCCCCCTCCCCACCCCGCCAGAGCCCAAGATGAAAAAGAGGGCCGAGTGAAAAGGGCGAAGCTCCCCCCCCCCCCCCCCGGCAAAACAGGGCCGTGCGGGGAAACAAACGCGCGGCCTCCGGAGCGGGGTGGGGGAGGGGCGCAGCTCCGCCCTCGGAGGAGGGACGAGGGAAGAGCCGGACGTCAGGCCGCAGGACTGAGCATGTGCTGAGGCCGTCCGTCCGGGGAGCCTCTCGCATCCGAGCCCGAGCCGAGCGGGGCCGAGGCCCAAGCGAGCCCGGGGCGCGCGGCTGCGGGGGGAGGAGACGGCTTACCTGGAAGTGCCCGTCCCGAAGGAGAACCCTCCTCCCGTGGTCCCGGTGCCCGCCGTGGCGGTCGCCATGGAGCCCAGCGTCCCTGTCCCGAAGGAGAAGCCCGTGGACATGGCTGAAGCCGGCCAGCCGCGGCCTTGGCCTCGTCTCTCGTCTCAGCGCCGCCGGGCAACCCGCAGCATCCCCCCTCAGTGGCCGGCCGGGCTGGCGGGCGGGCGGGAACTTCGAAGAGCGCCGGCGGCCACTTCAGTCTCTACAAGGGGGCGGGAAAGAAGAGCGAAGGAGCAGCCGCAACCCCTGGGCCGCGCACGCCGCCGCGCGGGAGCCGGCCGAGCCGCCGCGGCGCACCACGGGATGGAAGCCGGGACGTCAGCAGCGCGCGCCTTAAAGGGACAGGCGCCCGTCTGGATCAGAAGCCCTGGCCCCGCCTTAATTTAATTTATTCCTGTTTGGAGACAAGAAGGAACTTTAGATGTTACTGACTCAAACCTCATTTTACAAATGAGATAGCTGTGGCCCAGAGCGGTTTGGTCTATCAACCATTAATCCACGTTTGTTAAGCGCCTACTGTGTGCTAGACATTATGCTAAACGCTGGGGATACAAAAAGAGGCAAGAGACGGTCCCTGGCCTCAAGGAACTCACAGTCTAATGGGCGAGACCACAAGCTATGTACAACACCAAGCACAGTGACAAATTAGTGGGGGTCTGCCACATTAGTCCCTATTAAAACAAAACAAAAAAAGGAGGGGGGAACAAAGTGAGTCAAAACTCGTATAAATGAACCTTTGCCACAGTTGCCAAGATTTTAAGGAGCAAAGCAATTGTAACTCAGTTACTACCATATACGTCGTGGCCTCCATTATTGATCAGATCCTCTTCAATCCTCCTTTTGACAATGCTGAAATGATTGAAATGTGCTCCATAATCCTTAATTCAAAGCACAGGAATAGGAAATAAAAGGAGGGAGGTGTTAGAATTAAAAAGACTTCCAGCAAAAGATGAGCTTTTAGTTTACACTTAACAGGAAGCCAAGGAGGCCATTGGCGGGGGAGGAAGGAGAGAGTTCCATGCCTGGGGGACAGCCAGAAAAAAAAAATTCTCAGTCAAAAATATTAAGCACTTATCATGTGCCAGGCACTTGCTAAGTGCTGGGGATACAAAGAAAGGCAAAAACAAAATCAAATTCTCTGCTTTATTAGTGCTCCCAGTCTAATGGAGGAGACAATGTATAAACAACTATATATACCAAAGATACAAACAAGATAAATTGGAGATAATCAACAGAGGAAAGCCAACCTGTAGAAAATGGGATTTTAGCTGGGACTTGAAAGAAGCTTACAAACTAATAGACAAAATCAAGTAGAAAAGTGCCTGGAGAGCAGCTATTGAAAATGCCCAGATTTGGGAGACTGAGCTTCTTGCTCAAGTGTGCTTAGTATCCGTGCAGATAACACCCTGATCTAGCCCTGGACAGTCTCCGGATCTCTAGTCCTACATTACCCACTGCCTGTTAGACATTTTGAACTTGGATATCCTTATAGGCATCTCAAATTCAAGTCCCAAATAGCAGTCATTCTATTTCCCCCCAAACCAACCTTTCTTCTAAACTTCACTATTTCTGTTGAAAGTGCTTCTTAATCTCCCGTATCTCACATATCCATTGAGTTGCTTGATCTTTCCATTTCTACCTTTACAGCATTTCTCACATCTGACCTCTTCTCTCCACTCTCATAAGCACCAAGTTAGTTCAGGCCCTTATCACCACTCAGCTAAATGATTGCAACAATGGCCTAATTGCTATCCCTGCCTCAAGTCTCTCCCCAACCAGTCCCTCTTTCCCACAGATGCCAGTGATCATCCTTAAGTGCAGAACTAATAATGTATTTCCCCTACTCAATAAACTTAAGTGGTCCCTATTAGCTCTAGGATAAAATATAAACTCTTACGTTTAGTTTTTAAAGCCCTTCACAATCTGACCCCAACCTATCTGTCCAGCCTGATTATACATTGCTTCCTTTGCTGTACTTTACCATCCAGCCCCAGCGCCATCTCTAGTTGTCCTGATCTATGTCTTTCCACTGGATCCAGATGGCTCCAGAGGAGAAAGTGAGGCTGGTGACTTTGTACAGCCCTCCCTCATTTAAATCCAATTCACTTGCATGTCATAACATCATCTTCCTGATGTCATGGTCCTTTTTAAGAATGAAGGGCAAACAACAACCTGTGAGTAGTCCAAGCTGTCCCACTGGGGACCCAACTGGCCAGTTCCAGTTGGGCAACACAGCTCTTCCTTCTTTCCTCCTCCCCTCCCACCTCCCACCTCCCACCTTCCCCTTTCCCTCCAGCTTCTCCTTCTCCTTCTCCTTCCCCTTCCCCTTCTCTTCCTTCTATCCACTTAGGGTATAATACCATTTCCTGCTGGTGCTCTGTCCAAAGAATGTAAATTTTGATGGATGAAACATAGCAAGATATCTTGAGGTTAAAGGGCTAGAATTCTTCCTTAAAGACCATGCCTTAAACCTAATTCACTCTGGCTCTTATTGATTGGCCAGGAATAGGTCCCAGGCCAAGCCCCACTTGGTCATTTTTTGGGCCCTGATTGACCCAGAGTGAATGTAAATAGTAATTGCTTCTGTTTTGGCCAGAAACCCTCAGGGTCTTCCCCTCCCAGATAGTTTTTTTTTTAATTAGGCATAAGGGGCCATTCCTTGGCTCATTTCTTACCTAGCCTTAATCACTGAATGGGCGCTGCCTCAGTCAAACTGAGACTTGGGAAAGACCTTAGCTTAAAAAGTCCAAGGTCTTCTACTGCATCCAGGGCCATCTCCAATCTTGCTGAACTATATCTTGTCACTGGACCCAAATGGCTGGAGAGAAGAAAGTGAGGCTGGTGACTTTGCACAGCTCTGCTTCACTTAAACCCAATTCACTTGCCAGTCATGGCATCACCTGCCTGATGTCATGGTCCTCTTTGAGAAAGAAGGACAAACAACAACCATTCAGCCAAAAAAGACCTTCTCTCTGTTTTTCACCAAGCAGCTAGGTGGCAAAGTGGATAGAGTGCTGGACCTGAGGTCAGGAAGACTCATCTTCCTGAGTTCCAATCTTGCTTCAGACACTAGCTGCGTGACTCTGGGCAAGTCATTTAACCCTGTTTGCCTCAGTTTCCTTATCTGTAAAATGAGCTGGAGAAGGAAATGACTAACCACTCCAATATCTTCACAAAGAGTCTTACACAACTGAAAAATGACACTACTGTTTCTCCCACATGGCAATTCATCTCCCATTGCCGTGAAAAGAACAGCCCTGGTTGTCTCCCATGTTTGGAATGAATTCCCGCTTACCTCTGATTCACTGAATTCCTTACTTCCTTCCCTAAACTCAGTTCAAAGTCACTTTCTACAAAAAGTCTTTCTTTATCCCTCCAATTGCTAATGAGCTCACTATCAATCAATCATCAAGCACTTGAGAAACAAAGAAAAAGCAAAAACAGTCCCTGCTCTCAAGAAGTTTATATTCTAATAGAGGATACAACATATATAAATCAGTACATGCAAGATAAATACAGAGTAGATGGAAGGCAACTTTAGGGGATAGTACCAGCAACTTGATCGGGGAGGGAAGGAAAGGACAGGAAAGGTCTCCTGAAGGAGGTGAACTGAGTCTTAAAGAAAGCCAGGGGGTTCTGAGCATTAGTTCCTTGTTAAGAGGACAGCCATTATTATCACCTCCTTGAGAGAAAAGAAGCTGTGTACACGAATACCCCTTCTGGAACACATGTCCGTTTTGCTACATTCTGGTCTGTCTTCTGACCCAGGGCCAAAGAGAAAAAGGCGAAGGAGAAAAGACATCTGCCTGTAACTTTCTGTTATAGGCCAGGGAAAGGAGTGAATTCTCTTGCAAAAGTCTACCCTGGGCAACCTAGTCCCTGGGATGCTACATTAAGAATAGAAATGACAATAGAGTAAGCAATAATGGGACATTAGACTAGGTATAAATTTAGGCCAGTGGGGGTGGGATGAGCTTAAGAACTGAGGGATCAGTTCTTAAAAAGGAAGTTCTTAAGAAGTGAGGCCATGACTCTAGGATTTGGGATGCAGCACATCTGTAGGATGAAGATAATCTGGGAACACAGGGGAGGAACCCCTTCCCTGTTCCAGGGGAGGTAGGCAGCAGAAGGCTAAAAGTTAAGATACCAAAGGTATGGGGGGAAAAAATCAATTTGGAGTGTATTGTTACTAATGTACCCCATATAACTCTGAGGATCCAAGAATTCCCACCCCGACTCCCATTCTCACAGATAAGTCCTATAATAGCTACAACTCTCCCTCAGGGTTCAGGCATGTTTCCCTCCAGATTATCAACCAAAAGTAGCTTTTAGAAAGGGGTATTTACTAAAGTGGTGCAATAGGATCAGCTGATACACTCACACACAACGTCTGAGACAAACTCTAACACAAAAATACACAGAGTCCAGGGTGAAAAGTGAACTCAAGCTAAGAGAAGGGATAACTCAGTTCCCAGTTGCTGAAAGGCCTTTTCTCCCATTTGTGGATGCTCTAGAAGTTCCCCTTAAGGATGATAAATCTTCATCCAATCCATCTGTTCCAGGCTTGCAGTGGTAGACACTGATGCTAGACCATGCTGTCACTCAGGAACAATGCTAAGAAGAGGATAGGAAGTCCAAAATCTTTGAGACCCATGGGAATTCTGAAGGTCCCTCTCTGGCCAAAGGGACAGGGATAGTGGTGGCAGTGGTAATGGAGCAGGAGATCTGGCTGAGGACAAAGCTTTGGGGAAGGGGAAGGCAGTACCTTGGGGGTGGGGGAAGAGGGAATAGTTCAGCTATAGCATCACTTTGCTCCAATTTTTAGAATCTCTTCCCAACTCAGTTGATAATTTATAGACAATCCCTGGAGTATAGACACTGATTCTTGGCCTATCCAAATTCCATTCCAATTCAAAGGCCTTTTAGCACTTAGTTTAAGACTAAGGGATTGATTGAGATAGGTTCTCAACAAGTTGAAGTTTAAAAGTTAAAAGAGGGTGTGGTACTTTTGACCCTACCCTTGCACAAAAAAAACAAATCACCAAGAGAACATTCATAAATAAGCAGCTAGATGGCACTGTTGTCCATGCCTTTCAATTGTTGCCCAACTTACCTCGACCCTGTTTGGGGTTTTCTTGGCAAAGTACTGGAGAGGTTTGCCATTTCCTTCTCCAGCTTATTTTACAAATGAGGAAACTGAGGAAAACAGGGCTAAATAACTTGCTCGGGGTCACACAGCTAGGAAAGTGTCTGAGGTCAGATTTGAAATCAGGAAGATGAGTCTTCCTGACCCCAGGTCCACCACACTATCCACTTCATCACCTAGCTGCCCCACTAGATGGCAGGTAGATAGTAAAGTGGATTTGCAATTTGGAGGACCTGAGTTTGAAGCTTGTCTCAGACACTAGCTGCTTGACCCTGGGCAAGTCACTTAGTTTCTCTGTGCCTCAAATTCCTCATCTGTAAAATGTAATAATAGTACCCACCTCATAGGGTTTTTGTTAGTATTAAATGAGGTAAGTTGGTACAAGATTCAGACGTAAAGGGGGAGGGACATCATAATTAAATTAGTGGAACAAGGAAGAAATTACCTGTCAAATTTATAGATAATAGAAGAGTTCATGATCAAACAAAAGATGCAGAAGTTCACAAAGTTAAAACATAATGACCAACCAAAAGACTCATGATGAAACCCTCCGGAAAGACAACTGATGGACTCAGAGTAAAGATTGAAGCATATATTGTTTTTGGATGTGACTAATATGGGAATTTGTTTTGCATGAGTAAATATATTTGTAATAGGTTTTGTTTTTTGTTGCCTTCTCAATAGGCAAGGAAGGAGGAGCTACTTGATCTGAGAGTGTACTATGTTAATAAAATCATAGGTCTAATCCCTATCCCATGATATACATTTGGATGACTCACTCTTGGGCTGGTCTTTGAATATGTATATCTTGGATTGAAAAAGGAGAGTCATCAAGATTACTATTGGGAAATTGTTCAGTGCTTTTAATTAGCCTATTTTCTTTTATTTTATATTGGTTACAATTTCATTCAACTTACTATTTGCATAATTTGTATTTTTTGAATTAATTTTTCTTTAACAAATTTACAAGATTCCCAAATTGACAAATGGTCAAAGGATATGAACAGGCAGTTTTCAGAAGATACCAAAGCTTTCTATAGTCACGTGAAAAAATGCTCTAAATCATTATTGATTAGAGAAATATAATTAAAACAACCCTGTGGTACCACCTTATACCTATTGGAAATGACAAATCCTGGATGGGATGAGGGAAAAATTGGGACACTAATGAATTGTTGGTGGAGCTGTGAATTGATCCAACCATTCTGGAGAATAATTGGGAACTATGTCCAAAGGGCTACAAAACGGTGACCTTTGATCCAGTAATACCTCTACTAGGTTTGTACCCTAAAGAGATCAAAGGAAAAGAAAAAGGACCTATCTTTGCAAAAATATTTATAGCAGCTCTTTTTGTGGTGATAAAAAATTGGAAATTGAGGGGATGCTCATCGATTGGGGAATGACTGATTAAGTCATGGCATATGATTGTAATGGAGTACTATTATGCTAAAAGAAATGATGAGGGGGATGGTTTCAGAAAAACTTGGGAAGACATATAAGAACTGGTGTAAAGTGAAGTGAGCAGCACCAGGAGGTCATTACACACAATAATAGCAACATTTTAAGGATGATCAACTGTGAAAGATTTAGCTGCTTTGACCAATATGATGAGCTAAAACAATTACAAAGAACTCATGATGAATAAAATGCTACCCATCTCCAGAGAGAAAACTGATGAACTGAATGAAAACTGAAGTATAATTTTCTTACTTTACTTTTCTGACTTTTTTTGTGATGACTAATATGGAAATATGTTTTGCATGATTTCACATGCATTATTGATATCACACTGCTTGCCCTCTTAGTGTACGGGGGAGAGTTGGAGAGAGGGGGAGAATTTGGAACTAAAAATCAGAAAATAAAAAAGAATGTTAACAAATGAATAACTAAAAAAAATAAATTCACAAGACCTCAGTTAAAATCAAACTAGAGATGCAGTTTTTGTATATTTCAACTGAAAATATAAATTAAAATATTAAAACAATATTCAAATAAAGATATAAATTTTTTTAAAATTCTGATTTACATTTTTGAAAGGTGCTGTAATATATTTTTTCCGCATGATTCCACAGTTTTTACGGTTTATTTCTTAGCAATAGGCCTGAGGGAAAAGGGTTCCAGAATTTAGAGGCGTTCTCATAGATCATGGCATTCAACCCCGCCCCCGCCCCTCCTTCTTTAAAAAGTCCCGTCAGGTTTCCGGTCAATAGTAAGTGAGCTTGTTTTGCCTCCGACCAACAGGGGGCGCTGTGAAGAACGCGACCCAGCGAAGAGAACGCAGCTGGCACCCCTCTCTTCTGTTTGACAGTCAGCTGGGGCTCGTTCTCTCTTTCGTGCCTCGGTTTCGGAGTGTTTGTAGGAGACGGGCGCCTGCGGCTGCGCGCGTCGGCTAGTTCGGGGGCCGGCTGGTGGGCGGGGCCGCGCCGTGCCGGGCGCCGTAACTGCGGTCGCTGGGATTTGCACGTCGGCCGCTACCTTTCTGTCAGGTTCGTGGTGCGCCCGTGAGGCGGGCTCTGGGGCCTTCCTTCCGAAACGGCCTCAGGATGGAGCACATTCGCACGACCAAGGTAGATGACGGAGGGGACGCGGGAAGCCTCCCCTCTCCTCCCCCACCCTCGCCCGTGTGGATCCTGGAGGAGGAGGAGCTAGGCCGGCGGCCGCCCGGGGTCTCTGGCTTAAGGGGGCCGGGGTCGTCCTGACATCCCCTGCTTCTGCGACAAAAGTGGCTTGCCTGCCTTACCATTGGGGCACCGGGGGGACAGAGCCGGCCTTGGCCAAGGAAGGAGGCCGGAGGCCTTCTGTTTACACCGTCCCTTCCGCCCTTGGGACCGGGATGATTTGGGGAGTTTTAGGACTGGAGAAATTCACAGTTGCAGCCTCGCAGCCCAGGCACCCTTCCCTGTCCTGAGAAGGCAGGAGGTCAGGTGCCGGGCAGTCTGTGCACCTGAAGCCGGTAGCCACCTCCTCCTCCCTGGGCAGGAAACACTCAGGTGTGCTTAATCCACCGTGTGCATACTTGTGTTATCTGATTTTCCTCTTTTATGCTTGTAAGTTTGGTGGTGGCGAGGGGGTGATCCTCCCTCTCTCTCTCTGTCTCTCTGTCTCTCTCTCTCTCTCTCTCTCTCTCTCTCTCT